CTCAATGGATTATCCATTATTACAGACTTGAGCTTTCTATTTTTTTTTTCTTTAAAATACATATTCCTCTGCTGTAAAGATGTTGGGGTTTTTTGGACTCTTCTTTGTTGTCCCCAAATAATTGTAGCTCAGAAACAATATTGAAGTTCATTGGTTGAATTTTGAAATGTTGATGTTTTTTGTGTTGATTGTTTGTGCTCATTTTGACCTATGTTACTATTGCTTTCTACCATGTTCAATTCACCATTGTTCTGCACATATGTGCTTGCATACAAGTGTCCAGTGGTTATATTCATGAGGCATTCAAGGGACTTGTACTAAAAGATACAACTCAGTTCAGTATGAATTGCATATTTTAATGGCTGAAAATATATCTGATCTCTTTCAGAACATCACCTGTCTGTAATCCACCTGCGTAAGTACTGGTCAAGGGGATCATTGGCTATCAAGTTATAGATTTCAGTGGCTAATAGTAAGTTTTGCCAGATCTAAAGTGACTGAATGTAGTGTTAGAGAGCTTATAAAGCTAGGGTTCAGCTAAACATTTATTTGGCCAGTCTGTTTTATTTGTCTTTATTTGCGTGGGGATGTGGAAATGTAAGAAGTGTAGTCTCTCTCTGTCTCGTAGATATGACCTGTTAAAACATTTTACACTTAAACACCGGCATATGCGACGTTATCCATGCCCACACATAGACTGTCCATGTACTTGTAAGACATGGAATGCTTTGCATATTCATTAAAGTAGAAGGATATAGACTGTGTTGACCATTCTGTACTTTTCACATATTTCTTTGGTGATATATTCATGTCTTTATTTAAACCTCTAACGGCTTCATTTAGATGTTTAAATACGATGTTAAACTCCATTTTAGTCATGGCATAATGAAGGGATACTAACAATTTTAAATATCTTTCAAATAGACTGCAAGCCACTGATCACTTTTGTTGTCACTTCCTTTGAATGTAGCTATGTTTTCAAGTGTGTGAACCTATACTGCTGGAGTTTTGAGATTGTTCTCATTGTTTTTGATCTGCATATTTAGGAAGACACTGCTGAGGTCAGATGAGAGTGCATCCTCAAATGTCTGTGTGTACCTAAATGAAGATCCAGAGAAGCTGGTGAGGGAGTACATGGTATGTTAAATTCTCTTTGTGTTTACAATAGAACTCCTAAGAGTTGTTAAAATACTTTCACCAACTAAGGTCCATGAGTGACTCAATCAATGTCAGTCTAATTTATTTTTTAATTACATGTGAATTGTCTCTCCCCCAATACCCTTCCCTAACTCCCTTAGGACGTTGATGAATGCGCAGAAATGGCCAAAGCCGAGGCTGTCCTCGGAATCGTTGTCATTTGAGCAGAGGGTGCAGAGGCTGCCGATCCTCATCTGGATGTTGGGATTGTCCTGGAGGAGGTGGAAGTTATGAACAGCTTGGGCAGTGTATCTTCTGCAATAGTGATGCTGCTGGGACTAATCTATGCACTAAACTTGAGCTACCCTCAAGTTTAGTGCGTTCAGCACTCAACTTGCTCAGTAACTCAAGCATACCTTTGAAGTAATACAGAAAATAATAATGAAATTGGATGGAAAGAACTTATCAAAGAAAGCACAAGTTCTCAATATGAAACTCGCTGCTAAGTTGAGCAAAGTTTCATATGGAAAATGAGTGTTTAAAGTCTGCAGTAGAAAAGATTTATATTGTTACAGTTCTCTAAGTTGAGCAACTATACTGACATGTTTTATGCTGTAAAGAATTGGCTGGAAATGAAACTGTAACCTTTTTGTAGTTGTTTTTTTATTTCAATGTCCAACTCAGCTGTGTTTTGTGCTGTGTAAAAAAACGATGTATAACAATTCTGAAAATACAATTGTGTTGTACCTTTTCTAATTGTTGAGTGTTCTTCCTACACTTTCACCTAGTGCTATCTTAAAATGCTTGATTAACGCTTGAAAATATGTCTTTGAATTAACGTCATGAAATAATGGAAAGGATTTCCACACGATTAACTAGCTGTCTTTTAGCATGAAGCATATTTGTTGAGCTAACTTGCTTTTAGTGAGTTGGACCTACTGAATCAGGTAGTGTGAAGGTACCACTGTAAAATAAGGTGGTTTCAACTAGATTTACATTCATCTTAATGAAGTTACATCAATGATTTGGTCCTAAACATTGCAGATTAGTTGGGCGGGCTGTATTGCATTACACTGGGTCACGCTATAGTAACTGAGTTAAAGGAACCTTTAAAACATATGTTGAGCCAACACATTTCATTTGAATTTGAATAACCATAATGAATGGAGTTGAGCCAACTCATTTGATTTACAATCATCCATTGCCTTACCATAATTCTGGTTAAGCCAACATATTTGGTTTAAATTAGAACAACCTTAATGAATTATGTTTTGCCAACTCATTTTATTTATATAAGAATAACCACAATATATTACGTTGAGCCAACATGTTTGATTTAGAATCACCCATTGAATCACCATTGTAACAAGTGGAGCCAACACATTTGCTTTACATTGGAATAATCTTAATAAATTAGGTTGACCTAACACATTTGCTTTAAATAGGAGTAACACAAGTACATGGTGCTGAAATAAAGCAAAGTAATCAGGTGGAAATCCTTTCCATAATTTTTTTATGTTCATCCAATGACTTATTTTTTTCAGTGTAGAGTAACATCGGTGCAATGCAATGCAGAATAAGCTCAACAATTATCGAGCAGTTAATCACTTGGCAGATCAATGCGATTTTTCTACACCGGGTGAAAACTTCTGAGAGAGAAGCCCAGAACAGCGCTGCATGGTTCATTTAACACCAGAAGGCAGATGCTTCAGCAAACAAAAGCCTCATATCTAAGATCATCTCTGTGCACAGACAAATTGAAGCAGTTGGAGATGGGAAACCTTCCAGGGCACTTTGAAAACCATATTAATCATCCCCTTATCTATGCACTGTGAGTAGCTATTGCTGTGATCAGTGGTGAGTTGTTTGTTTGTCTGTGGTCGCTGAGCACCATTCAACAATTGCTGCTCCTGGGAGGGATTTTGCTACTGGGTGTCTTTGTAAAACATCCTGTCAACTATTTTCTATTCTCAGTGCTTTAAACCTAAAGCTGCCTTCCTTCCCATTATTGCCTCTCTTCCTTTGTCATTTTCAGTCCAAGCTTCACACAAAATAAATGGCTTCCACCGAGAGCACCAGTTTCCTGGTGGGTTATTTAAAATAAACTGCCAGGAAATTACAGTGATTTCCCTCACGGGTTGTCATGTATATGTCATTCACAGGACATTTAATAGAAAAACCTCTATTGTATGTTGTGTGAAGAAAAATAAACCTATTTATCAATGAGAGAATAATCTAGTGTGCTCTCTCAACGAACCAAAACATTTTATAACAACATAAGCTTTGATTGTGGTATAAACCTGGAAGATACATATTACCATAGCTTTAGCCATAGGTTTATTGTCTTTCCCTTTTTTTACTGATCTGCTTTGAGGTTTCTATCTGACCTAAAGTTCTGTTTCACAAACTATTTTAATGAATATAGATAACTTTTGATCAGCTTTATTTAAAAATGTTGAAGCACAAATTAAAAATGGTGGAAGCTATCTCCATGTTTATGTAAACTATGTTGAAACCCAGATAAATAGGTGCAACATATTCCTTATTTTTAACCTATTGACCATTATTATGATATGTAAAATCCAGCTAGCTCCTTAAATTTAAATGAATTCCCAAAATTATATTTTAAAATTATAAATTAAATTATATTCCCAAAATTATATTTTCTGCATACTTACATCACAATTAAGTAGTAATTTTGTTTGCAGTGGACTTTTCCCTCCACTTTACTGAACACCATCATAATAGTTATTCCAGTAATACATCTCCTATACATTCATCCTATCCATCCTTATCTCACCTGCCAAATGCTTGCCCTATTTGTTGTGATGATAAATGAGACACTACTCAATAACAAAGGGAGGAGGAGGCTGTCAGGGGAGAGCTGGAGTCTGGACGACCCACAGATTGACTACTTTAGCTCTGCGGCTGCCAGATTCCTGAATTTATTGGACATTTTACATGCACAACTTCTTTAAAATTCAACATCATCCTCTAAATTGAGTGACACACTTGGTCACAACACACTGAAAAAAATAAGTCATTGGATGAACATAAAAAAATTATGGAAAGGATTTCCACCTGATTACTTTGCTTTATTTCAGCACCATGTACTTGTGTTACTCTTATTTAAAGCAAATGTGTTAGGTCAACCTAATTTATTAAGATTATTCCAATGTAAAGCAAATGTGTTGGCTCAACTTGTTACAATGGTGATTCAATTGGTGATTCTAAATCAAACATGTTGGCTCAACGTAATATATTGTGGTTATTCTTATATAAATTAAATGAGTTGGCAAAACATAATTCATTATGGTTGTTCTAATTTAAACCAAATGTGTTGGCTTAACCAGAATTATGGTAAGGCAATGGATGATTGTAAATCAAATGAGTTGGCTCTACTCCATTCATTAAGGTTATTCAAATTCAAATGAAATGTGTTGGCTCAACATATTTTTTAAAGGTTCCTTTAACTCAGTTACTATAGCGTGACCCAGTGTAATGCAATACAGCCCGCCCAACTAATCTGCAATGTTTAGGACCAAATCATTGATGTAACTTCATTAAGATGAATGTAAATCTAGTTGAAACCACCTTATTTTACAGTGGTACCTTCACACTACCTGATTCAGTAGGTCCAACCCACTAAAAGTAAGTTAGCTCAACAAATATGCTTCATGCTAAAAGACAGCTAGTTAATCATGTGGAAATCCTTTCCATTATTTCATGATGTTAGTTCAAAGACATTTTTTCAAGCGTTAATCAAGCATTTTAAGATAGCACTAGGTGAAAGTGTAGGAAGAACACTCAACAATTAGAAAAGGTACAATACAATTGTATTTCAGAATTGTTATACATCGTTTTTTTACACAGCACAAAACAGCTGAGTTGGACATTGAAATAAAAAAAACAACTACAAAAAGGTTACAGTTTCATTTCCCAGCCAATTCTTTACAACATAAAACATGTCATTATAGTTGCTCAACTTAGAGAACTGTAACAAATAAATCTTTTCTACTGCAGACTTTAAACACTCATTTTCCATATGAAACTTTACTCAACTTAGCGGCGAGTTTCATATTGAGAACTTGTGCTTTCTTTGATAAGTTCTTTCCATCCAATTTCATTATTATTTTCTGTATTACTTCAAAGGTATGCTTGAGTTACTGAGCAAGTTGAGTGCTGAACGCACTAAACTTGAGGGTAGCTCAAGTTTAGTGCGTAGATTAGTTCCAGCAGCATCACTATTGCAGAAGATACACTGCCCAAGCTGTTCATAACTTCCACCTCCTCCAAGACAATCCCAACATCCAGATGTGCATCGGCAGCCTCTGCACCCTCTGCTCAAATGACGATTCCGAGGACAGTCTCGGCTTTGGCCATTTCTGCACATTCATCAACGTCCTAAGGGAGTTAGGGAAGGGTATTGGGGGGGAGACAATTCACATGTAATTAAATAAATAAAGACTGACATTGATTGAGTCATTCATGGACCTTAGTTGGTGAAAGTATTTTAACAACTCTTAGGACTTCTATTATAAACACAAAGAGAATTTAACATACCATGTACTCCCTCACCAGCTTCTCTGGATCTTCATTTAGGTACACACAGACCTTTGAGGATGCACTCTCATCTGACCTCAGCAGTGTCTTCCTAAATATGCAGATCAAAAAACAAAGAGAACAATCTCAAAACTCCAGCAGTATAGGTTCACACACTTGAAACATAGCTACATTCAAAGGAAGTCACAACAAAAGTGATCAGTGGCTTGCAGTCTATTTGAAAGATATTTAAAATTGTTAGTATCCCTTCATTATGCCATGACTAAAATTGAGTTTAACATCTCATTTAAACATCTAACTGAAGCTGTTAGATGTTTAAATAAAGACATGAATATATCACCAAAGAAATATGTGAAAAGTACAGAATGGTCAACACAGTCTATATCCTTCTACTTAAATGAATATGCAAAGCATTCCATGTCTTACAAGTACACAGTCTATGTGTGGGCATGGATAACGTCGCATATGCCGGTGTTTAAGTCTAAAATGTTTTAACAGGTCATATCTACGAGACAGAGAGAGACTACACTCCTTACATTTCCACATCCCCACGCAAATAAAGACAAATAAAACAGACTGGCCAAATAAAAGTTTAGCTGAACCCTAGCTTTATAAGCTCTCTAACACTACATTCAGTCACTTTAGATCTGGCAAAACTTACTATTAGCCACTGAAATCTATAACTTGATAGCCGATGAGCCCCTTGACCAGAACTTACGCAGGTGGATTACAGACAGGTGATGTTCTGAAAGAGATCAGATATATTTTCAGCCATTAAAATATGCAATTCATACTGAACTGAGTTGTATCTTTTAGTACAAGACCCTTGAATGCCTCATGAATATAACCACTGGACACATGCAAGCACATATGTGCATAACAATGGTGAATTGAACATGGTAGAAAGCAATAGTAACATAGGTCAAAATGAGCACAACAATCAACACAAAAAACATCAACATTTCAAAATTAAACCAATGAACTTCAATATTGTTTCTGAGCTACAATCATTTGGGGACAACAAAGAAGAGTCCAAAAAAAAACCAACATCTTTACAGCAGAGGAATATGTATTTTAAAGAAAAAAAATAGAAAGCTCAAGTCTGTAATAATGGATAATCCATTGAGAGTTTTAGCCTGACAAAATATACTAGAAATCCATAACTAACAGGTATTTTAGGAACATTTAACAAAGCTCAGAAAGCAATGCTTTATGCAGGTTTCACCGACTGAAATGTAGGACTTTTTATTACCATAATTAATTAAGAATCTCGATGATGATAGAAAGGTACCAAAGTGTGTATCTACATTTACCTCCATAGTAACATTACTGAAATAGAATTAAAATAGTTAGAAATAGGCTGATGTTAGATCAGTGTGTTAAAAATCCACTAAACCTCCAGGGAGCTCAGGAGGAGCAAAACTGTGACATTTCTGGGGTCCATTTGTGTCTCTGGCAGCAGCTTTGTACACTACATATGGCTCTGCAGACTTTTTTCGCACAGAATGTACCTAACATGGTGCGGCGATAAATGTAAACAAAAAGCTATCTGCCTTAACCTAACCGACTTAATCTACAGAACATGAAATAATGTGACACAAGTATGGAACAAGTAGAAAATGGTGCAAATGGTAGAGAAATTTTAAGTTACATATTTTTATATGGATTTAGATGAAAATAGATTGACTCTTACCTTCTTCAAACTAAGTAGATGCACGCCAGGAATCTCCCCTCTGCCCTTGAAAAAACCCAACAAGGTGCGAGCCAGTTATCTCGCGTGATTTTCCGTAATCTCTTGATGTCGCTGGATCCTCTTCAGCGGGAGATGAGTCTGACACAATAGCGCTTTGGAACTGACGTCACTGTTTTTTTTTTATTAGATTAACTTTGACAAATATTAATATATATATATATATATATATATATATATATATATATATATATATATATATATATATATATATATATATATATATATATATATATATATATATATATATATATATATATATATATCTTGGCACAACCAAGAGCTCGGGTCCTCTGGTAGAGGACCCGAGCTCAGAGGATAAGAACCACCCGCGGTGGGTATATATATGTTAATTAGATGTATTCAAGTTGAGATAACGTCATTCAATCACGTTAGTCCAGTTGAGAGAAAAAAACGATTGTCTCGCGTGTTCTCGCGTGATATCCCGTGATCTCACTCGTTGTCGTCAGCACAATATCAGTCTGACTGTAATGAATCATGTTAGCTCAACATGATTCAATTTTATAAATGTGAAGTCGTGGAATATCTTGTTTATCCAACATGATTTTATCACGTTTTCGCTTCAAACCCAACATTATTGTGTGAAAGGTACATGATATTTTTTTGTTAATGTAATACGCCCCGACGTTCTTTTTTTGGCGGAAGATCTAGCTGACTAATTGAATCACGTTATCTCACCTTGAATACATTTTATTCCATTTGCGAGAGGAAACCGATTATCTCGCGAATTATCGCGTGATATCCCCTGATTTCCCGTAATCTTGCGTGAACTTGCGTGATATCCCGTGATCTCACTTGTGGTCTTCAGCATAGGATCGGTCTGACTATAATGAATCATGTTCTCTCAACATGATTCAATTTTATAAACGTTGAAGTTGTGGAATATCTTGTTTATGCAACATGATTGTATCATGTTTTTGACTCAAACATGGAATTATTTAGTTAACAGTACATGATATTCTTTTGTTAATGTGATAACCCCTGAGGTTCCTTTTTTACAGTGCACCAGAGAATCCCCGTCTAACTGAAGGGAGAGATTGTCATTAACTCTCTGTTTTGGACTGGTTTTAATACGGCCCACCTTATTAGAAGCCGGTCCTCCTTATTAGTGCCATCGAGTAGTTTGTGCAAGGTTGCTGCACTGCCGGCAGTTTAACTGAGTCAGTAAAGCAAACTTTAATAAGAGGGCCACTGGTGATGGGATCACACGGCTTTAATAACAGAGCAAAGCAGAGTAAAACTGCAGCCAAAAGAAGAAGAAAAGAAAAATACACAATAGAGATGCATTCGTCCACCACTTATACACATGCATGCATATACATTTGGAACACCAGCATTAAGTTTTTGCAGCTGGGTTGCACAGCACTATCTGCAGAATTTTGTTACTTGTGACAGTCATTTTGGCAGACACAGAACTGTGATGGATTACCACCCTGGCTGCAAAATGCTCCATTTTGTTCAGTGGCTGTAAAAGTCATTCCGTTAGACTGTAATAAACAATTATTTAATGATACATGGAACAGATAAAATGATTATCTTGTACTTTATTAGTCCTCCGTGGAGAGCATCTGTAGTTTTGCGATATAAATGACTTCCATTGAGAGAGTGTAAACCAAGGGCAAAGTTTTTGTTGCCATGCAGTCTGTTCCCAGTTAGACTAAACATAAACATTCGCTACAATGACACATTTAGTCTTACCGGCATCATATTAGCAAGAAACTACAACACCTTACAGAAAACCAGTCCTCTGTCTAGTCACAGCTAGTGTGATGGTGTGACAAGTCTTCATTAAATGGCATCCACATTCCTCTGGTAATCCCATTTGCTGTTTCTGTATCTGTAAATAAAGGTTCACCAATCTTATAAAAATGAAACAAAATCCTGTGACACAAATAATACATCTCACTGGCTTTTCTCAAGAGTAGAGATATTTTCCTGAATGTATTGCCATTGCTCGACTATTCAAAGCCTAGTTCCTGAAAGCTACAATAATTGCTAAACTCTTAAAAAAAAAACACAAATCAATAGAGGTCTGTTTGGTCAATAAGAACTGAAATTTCAGACACAAGCTGCTTCTGTGTCACAGTGTGCATCTTAAGTCTTATTCTGCTTTGTTGCAGTAATTTATTGTGATTAATGCTCAGTTTATCACATTATTGACATCACAGCAGCTGAAAAAGAACTCACATATTGCCATATGATTCTATTTAAAGACAAATTATTTACCTGTCTTTTCTAACATTCTACTGGGATTCACAAAGTTCATTAAACCGAGGAGGGAGAACCTCCAAACTAGCATGGACCACTTTGAACTTAATTTATTTTGGTGCCATTTAACTTTGCTTTGTAAAAACTCATATTTGGGAAAACTGCTTTAAATAAAATATGAACCACTTTTTTTGTCCACTTGTCCATTAACCTGTTTGCACACAATGGATTTAGGCATCTGGACATGGTGAAGAAAACTTGCCAAAGGTCGAACAGAACATTAAAATCGCAAAAAACAGGAATTAAAGTAACTTTGAACAAATGTGGTATGGCTATTGTCACCAGGCAAGCTGGTCTAAGCATTTTTAGAAACTGATGATGTTGTGGGATTTCAATGGTTAGCCACCTCTTGGGTGAAGAGAGGGAAAGCACATGCAATAAGCACTTGATATGTGGGCAAATATCCCTTGTTGATGTCAGTGACCTCACAATCACCTCATATGGGTCTCAACAGAATCCAATGCAACTTGGTGAGGGGCCGCAAAGCACATACTGGGATCTTAATAAGACAAAATAAAGGATCTTACTGAACCAAAATGTAAAATTTAGCACTGAAATAAGATTTCCAATCAGTATGTAGAGAACAGAATACAAAAAAGAAACAAAAAATCTCAAATTGAACTAGTAAAGCATGTGCAGAGGACAATGAGTGACATCAGAAACATCAACTCAAAATGATCTGAATATATAACCAAGGTGACTAACAAAGCACAAAATACACTTAGATCTTGACACTCAGAGGACAGTTTTCATCATCTTTTTCAGTCTGTGGTGCAGAGAATTAAAGCAGCTGTGAAGGCAAACGAGAGCATAATCCAGTATAAATAAGGATGCATAGAGTAAAGAGACAGAAGCATATCAATTCTGTATGCAACCAGCAAGAGCGGTTTTCTATTTTTTTTTTTTTTAGTTCAAACTTTTATTTATTTTTCTCCAACCCTTTGTTTTACCAAAGTCCTACAGATCTGCTGCTGACTTTGAGTCAGAAATAGCAAAGATGCAATCAGGCAACATAAAAAAATACCATGACAGACCTTTCTGGTATAACAATCGATTCTGATATCATTTACTGCTTGAGAGGGGAGCCAGCTACGAGGACTGCCGTCTCAATTTCCTCTCCCATTTTCTAGCTCGCTGAAGAGCTCGTGGTTCAGAGTTGGGCTTTGGTTTGGCAAAAAGAGGTAGAGGATGTTTGGGACAACTGACATTGCTGCCTTTGGCCTTGTTGACTCCGACTTGGGTGAACATCTGGATGGCATACCGCCTTATGTTAAAGGGTGAACTGCTTACTGTCTGCTCTTAATTCAGGAAAGTCCATCTGTTTAAAAGCTTCTAGTTTAACATGTACAATGTCCTGTTGACTGGATAAGCAGATCCAGAACTTAATGCTTTGCTTTGGTCAGACAAAAAGGCAAGTCCGCTGATATTAATCTTGTGATATTAGTGATGGAAACAAAATCAGACTTAGATTTAACATGCTGTTCAAATCTGATATTTATTGTATTTCAGGGTCAGCCATCCCGTCTCTCTGGGGAGAGGAGAGCTGCTTTTAGATCTTTCAGTGCCTGTTGAACGTCATTCTCTTATGATGACTCAGGCTCATTTTCAGAGCCTTGAGTCTGTTTCACATTTTTATTGACTATAGTACATCATCTCTGTTTAGTACTGACATGGAGGTGTGGCTGTCACTCTGCAGATCCAAGACTCTGCCACATTTTTAAGAGCTATCGACAGAGAACAGCGTTTTGAATCTTCTTCTGCTGCCAACTGTACACTAAAGCTCCTGAACAACAGCATAGCATAAAAAGGTCGTTAGTCATACA